GGGGGAGGGGGGAGGCGGGAGCTGGTGCTCATGGAGAGCCAGCTTGAAAGCCGCTTTCCACATGTACCAGCTCCCGCCTGTCCTGCCTCCCCTCACTCCTCCTGTTGCTTCTGCTTAAAAGCCTGTTCCTGCCTCCCTCCCCGCTCTTGCTGCCTCTGATACAAGGGAGGTGGGGTGATACGCGCGTATAGTCAACAGGAATAACTAGCAAGTCCCGCTTATCGGTTAATCATGTAATTGACTACACATGGACAGTCCTAGTACAAATCCTTGGAGGCTGTAGAGCTAGAGGCACTTGTCTAGTCACCGCCAGGTAGTGCCTGTTGCCGTACAAGGGTAGAGAAGCTGCCCCAGGTCCTGCTACTGGAGACTAATGTGATGCATCTACTGTAGGCAGGGACATCTGCCTTGCCTCCTAAGCTCTCAACGGACACCCTCAGTCTTACGGGCACATTACCCAGGTTACAGCGATCTTTCGTAGCCCAGCAGATGCAGTAATGTTGCATGAGTTGCTCAAGGAGTTCCTTTTCGTCGAGGAATTCGAGTCCCTCTATTCTGCAGGGAAAACAGAAATCATGATTTAAAACTGCATCCCCCTTGCGCATTTTGTAACACGCCTCTTTGTTCCACAGAAGGGAGCAGTCTCCTGCAGCACACGTGTTCTTTCCAGTATATGAACGTGCACATAAATGGAGATGCCAGTGCACCAAACAGGCCGGGATGCCGGATTTCATTGTTTAAAGGAAAGGTTTCTGGAGGTCCAAAGTTGTGCAATAACTACCGATCTGTATGCAGATATGGGATCTGCTATTTACTGCTCTTTTCCTGCTCCCTCACTTCTCAATGCTGGGATTCAGGGTATCCCTGCTAACCCATGCATCTTTACAGAACAGTAAATATTCTTGATTCATCTCTTTTGCTCAATTACACACAATCTCATCAGGTTTGTGGGGATGCAACACCACAGGCTGATGAAAGGAGCCTATACCCTAGAATCATTCATCAGGTATCACTTCAGACTGTCCTCCATCAAAGCCACAATACTCGCTCACTGCCCCTTTCCAGAAAAGGGGGGCTTCGCAGTGGAAGTTTTCCCAACGCCATCCTGACCCCCAATAACCACCTTCCTGTGTGAGCAAGTGAGCGGCCATACTCCTGATCCTATGGATGAGACAAAGCGAACTACTGATGTTACCACAGTGCCAAGAACTTGCTGTGTTAGTCACAAGGGGTATAAAGACGTAACCGTGTAACCACTAAACATCCTAGCGGTGACATGCACCGCAGAGCCCGCAGTGCAGCTGGGAGCCAGCTTATAAGCTCCCGGGGAGCTGGTTGTGCTGCGGGCTCTGTAGTATAACCTTTATACTGCAGACCGCACAGTGTGGGGCGACAGCCAGATTCCGGGGAGCCGACGTGTAACCGTAACAAACCCGATAATCTGACATTTATCAGTCAACCCAGGGGTTCGCAAACTTTGAGATACGTGATGCCCCCTCTAAGTTGCTCGCGACCCCCCGGGAGGTCGGGACCCACAGTTTGAGAAACGCGGAGTTAACTGTGTAAATGGTCACACTTCTACATCCCTACTTGTCACTGTACACACAGAACAAAGACGTTCCATGCTCCAAACAGCTTCCCAGCCAATGACTTTCTTCCTCTCTAAATGACTATCCTCATGGCTTCTGTTGATATTTTGGTCTTTATTTTCTACTCTTAAAAAGTGTTGGAGTGCTGCTGCTGTGGACAAGGCCAGGGGTGGGTGCATGTCAGTGATGGGTAAGTGATTCCTAAATACACACCATGTCAGTAAACATTGACAAGCCATGCCGGATAAAAGATGCTCTAGAAATAAAAGGCATTAGACTCATCCCTGAAGGTCAGAGAACTGGCTCTGGAGACAGACAAAAGGAACTGGACAGTCATCAATGCTTTTTACCAGGTTAGAAACAAGGAAGAAATATTTGACATTTCAGTAACAGACTGAGAAAACCCAACCTGGTCACCCTGACTTGGGCTGCATACAATTTACCATCTCAGGGTTTGGGAAGCTTCCATCTCTGAATGTTTATTTTCATAATCTGGTTGGCCAGCTGAAACTGCAGCTGATGACAGACTTCTAAATGGTCTACAATTCCGATTAGACATTTAGCAAGTTACCGATTTAAAAACTTATCGGTCTCATTCTTATTTTTCATATTAAGGACTTAAATGGATACCTACGATTGTGGAGATGGCCACGTGCCCGGAAAGCTTATTTCATGAATAATCCAACACTAGCAAGTGGCAATGGCCCACTTCGGGCAGGCAAGCGCCGACGAAAATGTACTTTAGAAAACCACATCTATAAAATTCATGATGTTTTCACTCACTAATGCAAAAGCATTGGGGGGGGGGGGGGGGGGAAGAGAGGGCGCCATATACCCGTTTGCGTCAATTGAAGAATAGATCCATCTGTTCCAGAGGGCAGCTACCTTTTACCTACAGTTGGGAGCTAATCCAGGACATAAGACACCCTCGGTTTACACGCTGTGGGCTAGACTCTGCCCTTAGACCTGGCCCCAAGCAAGGCAAAGTGCGGAAGCTGCATCAACCCCCTGTGACCCAGACACTCCCCTCCACACTGCAAGGTCTGCTCACGAGGGGCAGCACGGTGCTGTCGGCTCACACCCACAGTACCCGCCCTCTCCTTGCGCAGCAGGAGGGGAGCAGAAGCCTCGGTTTACACGCTGTGGGCTAGACTCTGCCCTTAGACCTGGCCCCAAGCAAGGCAAAGTGCGGAAGCTGCATCAACCCCCTGTGACCCAGACACTCCCCTCCACACTGCAAGGTCTGCTCACGAGGGGCAGCACGGTGCTGTCGGCTCACACCCACAGTACCCGCCCTCTCCTTGCGCAGCAGGAGGGGAGCAGAAGAGAGGCTGAGGGATCCCCCGGGCCG